CCTTGTGCACCCTCCATGGCTTTGGAGAAAAGGAAGTGCGAAAGATTATATAATATATATATATATATGCACAAGTTGAAAAGGTCAAAGTTCCCGTGAACGGAAACAGGAACTGGAAGGACGTGATCAAGATCGGGTTTTTGCTCTTCCCCCTGCCTTCGTCTCCATGAATCAAGTATGGAATGATTCTGCCAAAGTCGGTGAAGGTGGAGAACAGAGTATGCTGTGGATCTAGGATTTTGTACCTCTCTCAGAATCTATTGTACATCTCCGTGTATCGGGCGGAGTCTTTCCCAATCCTATGACCTCCAAGGACACATTGGACTTGTGTTCCAGTAGGTAGCGACCCCACTGTTCTAGACCGATGAACGGATAGTCCAGATAAACTGCACGGACTGTCGGGCGCAGCTGGACCTTCAACTTTACCATTCAAACGTGCACAGGAAGGAGCCAGCCCTCTTTTTGGATGATTCTATGGAAAGTCTTGGAAATGTGTTTTCGGCCACTCACTGTGAAGGTTCGCCAAGCTCGGCAAAGCGTCATAAGCTTGGGATCTTTGCCGCCTGGCCCACGCATGCTTCATCATGCTTCTTGGAATCCAAGCCTACAAAATATGAACATGCACTGCATGCATGCGTGCTGCAAGTCTTGCATCCTTTATTGACATGCGCAAACCCCAAGTGCTCATGTATAGCGCGAAGGCCAAGGCACCCAATCTCTTCATTCTCTTGCTGGTCACACGTGCAAGTCGAACCAAAACTCGATGGGCAGATTTTGCCTAAGGTGAACACATATATTATAGAAGGTCTTGCAGGTGGCCCGTATACACAAATAGAAAATACATTAAGTGTGCGCCCCTTTTGGCCTCTCAACCTTTGTTTGCGCAAATACATGTGGGAGTTGATCGAAAACCCCGTGTAAGGAGATTTATATAAAACAGCCTTTCAGATGTTGTTAGAACCATCCGCGAAAGATTCGCGATGAGGTTCGCGAAAGTATCTTATTTTCCGCGAAAGATTTATCGAAGGTCATCGCTTTCATACGTTTTCCTTTCTGAGGGACTGACAAAGAATAGAAATAGAAGGCAATCTTCCGGCAGAGCTGGTGGGCGGAAGTGTCCCCATATGTCACAGACTAACGAATTGAAGCCTCAAAATTTCCGTGCCCAGCCCTGGCAGTGCGTAAAGGATTCTCCGATTCCTGTCCCCACTGTCATAGACAAGCAACCTGAGTAGGCGCAGCCCTGTCAGTGAGGCAACGACCTACAGCTGTGCAGATGTTTGCATACGGCATACGGCTTCCCCGGGAAAGCGCCAGTGAAATTTCGCGAAAGATCCGCGAATGTGCCGCTAAAGTCCAGGTCCCCAGCTTGAGGCCCCCCACAGATGCTGCAAGTGACCCTGAGTTGGTCATGCTGCAAGATGTCTGTCCCTATGACATGTTCCGGCTCATGTTAGCTAGACATGGTTGTAGGACCATGCTTCGCGATGAGGCCGCGAAAGATCCGCGAAAGATATCTTTTTTTTCCGCGAAGAATGGCCATTCCAGGATGAAAGAATATTGATCAACCACCATGTATGCAAAATACCTCAAAAAGCCATGACCCTCTTATAGGCAGTTGAGCTGCGCCATTTTAACCCGGTAAATAACTCATCCGCTAGATCTGAATTTGTAAAAGACGAGCTGGAACTGCGAGCAACAGTGTTTATCTGGTGCGGATTTGGATCGCTGAGGCTAGACTTGGCCTTTGGATGGAGATCTCGATCGTGAGCAGGCACCTGCATCCGCAGATGACGAGGTCTTGAGAATATTGCAAAATGTATATATGACCTACATCGAAAGAACTGCAGTCCATGCTTTTTGTTTTTTCCACCAGGCGCCCCTTCTTGCGTGACCGGGGTGTTCCCTTGGTCGTTGCCTTTGCCTTGGCCGAAGGCCTGGATGGACGAGACGGCTTCGAAGGCTGAGAAGCCGGAGCAGCCTAGCCCTTGGGGGCGATGGCAGACTTCAAATTCCTGGGCCGCGTCATGCAGCGCATGGAGGCACCTCGATGTTTCAATTTGGCTTTTATGATGTTTTAATATAGCCTTAACCTAGGTTCTTGGCTCGGACAATTGCATTTTGTTAAGTGCCATATCCAACTTCGTGACTTCGTGATCTCCACCATTTTGGATTTGATGGCTGCCTCGTCCAACCTGAGGTACTGTGTAAACCCGGGATTGTATTGGCTTGTGACCCCTCAAAAGTGGCTGATTCAACGTGTTGTTTGGGATCGACGATCTCACGGGCGACTCCAAGTTCCAAGAGAGCACTTTAAAGAAACTTCTATTCCGTGACAGCGCGAGTCTTTTGAGAGCAATCCACAAAAAGATCATTGCTGGGGAGCGATGGGTGTTTTTTCACCTAAGACCTAAGAAGAACCCTGCAGGAACGAGGAGCAGATCGGTGACATGTCGGTGCCATGACATGTATGGCATTCTCTTGGAGGACAGTGTGGACGCAAAGCCTTGGGCCGGGGTTGGGCTTGGGCAATGGAAATGAACCTGCATACTTTTAAGTCATGGTGTTTTGTCAAGGAACAAGAAGCCTGCACTTCCAAGAAAGTCCATAGATTTACTGCAATAGTCGAAGTCAAAGCTTGCGCAGTAGAACCCTTTTTATGCCTAGGAGGAGGAGGAGGTGGTAGAATGATCTCTCGGTTTCATAGACTTAAGTACAAGCTAGGTTTATGGCCATTCTGACATTCTTTCGTTGTTTGAGCAGCTCCTGAAAAGACTTCAAAGAAATGTACGGGTTGGGCTTGCTTTGGAAAATCACTCCTAGCCAGCGTCAGCGCCTAAGCCACAGGTGCCAGAAGCCCACCGGACTTGATTTTGATCCACGTACAGGTTGAGTTCCCGACCACGGCAACCAGAACCTAGGCATTCGGTAATATTGCTCCAACTCATCACCTTTTTGCATCTTTTTGCAGCTCAAAGAATCCAAACCTGGCTAAAGCTCCTTTAAGCCAGCTATCTCTCAGTTCAACTTCCAACACCTTTGAATCTTGTTGCAGACTCTGTCGGCAGAACATGGGACCGACTTTCGTGGTTTGCGAAGAAAGAAGGCCCCAAGGTCGGCATCCGACTCGACTGGCCAAGGCCAGATGTCTTTCACACCTTCTTTGGCCTGGCGGGCTTGTCGTTGATGAGGCCGGTCCTGAAACCCGCCGATTCACGCCGGGAGGGTCGGTGTGGAGGCTGTCGGCCAGTCGGTTCTGGGTGGCGCCTGCGGGTGGTTGGTAGGCCCTCTGGCGCTGTGTTTCATCCCCCCCACCAGTTTTTGGGAGATCTGCAAGTCTAAGTGCTCCATCGGTGACCTCGTTCGGCGCCAGGAAGGATTTGGCCCCGATCCAGTGCGTCTACGCGCTGGTGAAACAGCGGTCGGAGCCATCTGCACCAGGTGGGTCTCAGATCGTCCGAGACACAGGCTCACATTGAAAGGTTCCAATCCACACCTGAACCGCTGTTGTTGCATACCAGGACACTTTTCAGGTTTTCAGGGGATATGTGTGTATTGATATCAGGCCATATCATGGATGCAAGTGCAATTCAGTCGTTTTTCTTTTGAGCAAGTAGCGGCTTTGGGCGCTCCCATTTGCATCAGATTTCTTGCCACTCATTCGGCAATGTTTTGGATCTAGCACTATACCGAGCTACCCGTCATGAGCCGATCCTTGCATACGGATAAGGATCATGTTTGAAGTGATCGATTGACTGAATCTAAATAAAGCAAATCTGAGCTGGCAGGACTTGAAGAAGGCTTTGGGCGCCTGCGTGCAGTGCTCGAGCCCACCATGTTGGACAGCTCTTCATTGCTTCGCGCCTGGCGCTCGGTTTGGTCCGGTCTCTTAGCGACCAGTTCAAACAAAACAGATCATGCATAAACACACTACTGCACTGCACATGTATATTCACAAATTGAAGTTACCCTTATTGCATGTATGTAGCCTGTGCAAAATGACTGCGCAGTTTTCTCAGAATCCATTCGCCAACATGGACCGTGACAGAGGTTCCCCTGCATGCAGTTTGCAAGGTTCTAGCTCTGCAGGCCCAGCCCCTAGCTAAAGGAAAGCATCTATAGCAAACAGGTTCCGGATACATCAGTATTGCTTGTCGCAGTACCCCTACAAGGCCCAAGCCGATGTTCTGGAAAATCATCACTCTGTAGTTTTGTATGCCTCAGTTGGATGATCATATTTTCAGCGACACAAATTGGCGCTAGTTGACATAATTCGTACTACAAGTGCAGGCAGGCTACCACACGACCAAGCTCTTTGCACTCCTTTGGAGTCAAGCCTTCTGACTTTGCCTGCCGAATGGGCGTGGTAGGCAGCGCTCTTGCGGGACAGGCATCTTGATCCTTTTTCTTCTTGGAGTCCTTCTTCGATGACTTGTCACCTTTGCTCAGCTCAGCAGCTTTTGTAGCCTTCTCTTCAAAGGCTTGTCCGCCTCCTCTTCCACCTTCTTGTCAGGCTTACTCGCTTACTCGCCTTACCCCTTCTGGTTTTCGCTTTTGGCTTCTCTGGTTGGCAACTTTGGGAAGGTCAAAAGGTGGGACAGGTGTGGACAGGTGGGTAGGTCACGCTCTGGTGTCAGTGCCCAACTGCTCCCCAACTGCCGCTGTTTTCGCAAGTCTTGGCAAGTCTGGGAGTATCGGTGGTCGAAACAGCATCTCCAAACATCGGCTGAGTATCGAGGTTGTCCATACCTGGACCCTCATAACGATAGACGATATCTCACATATATATATAAATATACTCTCAGATAGATTAGTCGCATCGGTTTGCGCTAAATGTTGCCGTTACTTGCGTCGAAAGGTCTTCGGGAAGTCGCATCGGTTTCATGATTCCATGCTGTTTTGAGAACATGCGACATGCAAATGATCTAGCTAACCTTTCTTTCAATGCTACTGGGGCCTCGCTTTAAGTCGTATCAACTGGAGGAAAGTCGTATCAAAATGGTGTGCCCTTGGGGATTGGCTTGTCTATGGATGTTTGTTGTTGTTCTATTTGTTCTACGAACTGATGTTAATGTGCTGTGCCCATGCGTTGCTTGCTTGTGTGATAGATTCAACAACCTTGTTGCATCATTGCATCGTGTTTTTTCAACAGACAGCGTGAGCTATTAGGGTTCTTACTTCAAGGAGCTGCGTGTGTGCGTTTTCGAGCGTGGGTGCTGGTGCCGCTGAAGGGTGCTGCTGCTGCTGGTGTGCTGCTGGTGTAAATGCCTACTGCTGCTGCTTCCGCAAAGGAAATGGAATAATTTCGTATAAAACCAACACATTTTTCAATCACTAAAGCGCCTTGTAAACAGGAACCTGATGTGACCCTGATGTGACCCCGTCGCATCGGGCCCCCCCTTGCAGACTAACAGTTTTCCAGTCACCTGATGTGACTAATATTGTTGACAGTATGCTTTGCATGTATGCTGAACAAAAAACAATCCTTGTCATATCATTATGTCACACTGTTTCTGCAAGAAATCTTGAGGCGAGATTGCTGCCAAGTGAGCCAACGGAGGACCGGTCGGTTTCAATCGAGCGTTTGGTCTTGAGCAAACCCTCCAACTCAAGTTCAAGCCGCTTGTATTCCTCCAGCTTGGCTAAGGTTAGCCTCTCGATTTCCGTGGTCTAGTTGAGATCGGTCCCACCACCCTTTTCAAAACTTGGCGGAGCGCATGGAACAGCTTTCAAATTGGCAATGTCAACTGCATAGGCACCACATTATGTTTTGCATTCAAACACTTCATACTGTCTCTTGATGGTGTGAAAGTGCTTGTCCGCCTGAGCGACCTTTGGCGGTGTTGGGCTGGCAACAGCCACACCTGCACGGCGGTGGGGTGCTACTCAAATAACATGCGTACTTTATGCCTGAAAAGCACACTCAGTGCAGTTTACTATTTAATTATCCCACCTCGAGGTGATGGTGTGCTCAACCGTTTCAACGATGGACCCCTCAACCTCAAGGCTTTGTTGCCTAAGCCGCAATCGCACCCAATAACGATGAATATTGCACGATCATATTTGCACTGCAGTGATACTCGAAGAACTGACGTTCAACTCGAAATTGAAACCAGGAAACCTCCTGTTGGTACCGGTGCTTGTGGTGAAGCATCTCTAATGAGCGGACCTGGACGGGCTGCCGGTGCAGGAGCTGACGCTGCAGGTACAGCTTTCATTCTGCGGCGTTCTTCCGCATCCTGGCTGCGGTGAGGGCGGAGGATTGGTCGAGGATTGTTGAGCGGGGTCATGAAACTTAAGATATGAAAAGAATCCGGCCTCAGGAATTTCGATGCATTCATCATTTGTTAAGTGTTCCTCTTCATCACCTTCACCGCATCCTTCTTCATCACCCTCCCCATTCTTTGCATCGACGTCGAAACTACCTTAGATTGCAACAATCTTGGATTAGACCCTCTTTTCGCTTTTTTATTGACTTAACGCAATTAAGGATCGATGCTTAAACATGTTATTTGCTTATATCAATCAAGCCGGGAGCCCTGCGGTCAAGGGACTCCGCTCTGAATATAAAGGCCTCTCATGGCCGGTTCCCTCGGGATGTGCGGCCGGCGAAGTGCCCATGCAGTACCCTTCACCAAAGCTCTTAGGCCAGTTTGTTGATAGGCAAGGCTTGAAGTGGCGGGCGAAGGCTTAAGTTTTAAGCTTAAACAGAGGCAAGACTCCATCCACAGGTATCTTTCCTCGTGGCCTCACCCGCCAGAACAATTCTGCCACCAAGGAATTTCGTGGGTGAACAGCGGGGCGAAGTCCTGAGCGGTTTGGATAGGAATTTAGTCTTATGGCTAGTGGGGTGTTGGACTAAACTTGATCAGATCATCGTGGTTTTCCGGTCCGCTGACGCACCCAGGTGTAGCAACAGTGGTCCCAGGGCTTCGTCGCGTTGTTAATCACATCTCGGCGGGCAAGGTTCCCTTGCTTGTTTGTGTAGTGAACGAGTTCTCCACGCTGACCCAACTGAACCAGCCAGGCCATGAGCTCTCCCACTCGTCTACCACAGCCGATGACATGGCTAGCTATGATCACAGGGCACCCTACCAAAGATCCAATGTGGATGCTGTGGGGATTCAGCAAAAGACACGTTATGGATCACCTGCACGCGCTGACCCCAAACAACCAGAGACCGATATGGACCAAACAACGGCGGGTACCATACCCCGGCCTCTCAAAAGCATTCAAAGCAATCCCCCATGGTTTGGTTCACCTGCCCGCCATCCAAGGCATTGCTGGTGGTCACACACACGCACACAAGTGCGCTGACATCGTGCACACCCGCCTGAGAGGTATAGCCAACATGGCTAAGGATTCAACAAAGAATGAAATATGTTCGATCTTCAAAAAAGAGCTCGTTTGAGAGCCCAGTGCATTTAAGTTACAAAACTCAATTGATTGCGTTTTTTGGGTACGTTGGGAGGTTCAGGCATAAATGCTTTTGCCTCTCAGACGCCTCGTTGATCACTGTTCAACCCAAGCTGGTCGCCAGACTCCCCCATCACACCAGTCCAGACTTTGTGCATCCATGGGCCCAGACGTTGAACATTGTTCGCATCCCAAGGCGCGCAGCTAACTCTCGCCAGGTGTGAGTTTCAACATGAAAAGCGGCGCTTAATTGCTAGTATTTTGCTCCAATCAGCCCAGCTAGGCCAGTCCTCCGAGCAGTCGCAGTGGGATCTGTTTGGTCGGATTCAGCGGACCGAACGCAGCATCCACAAGTCCAGGCGGAAGTTGCATAAACAGAACTTCGCCTTGAGAAGAGCGCCATCAAACGTTGATGAATTTTGGTATCCTTTTCATATGCATGTCGAGCTGGCTATGCCTTTTCCCACTGGCCATGCGCCAAAAGGTCCCCGTTTGGTATGAAATGCATGTTGTTTCAGGGTGCCTAAGTTTTCATGTGTCCACGGCTTATAAGCTAATACATGAATAGTACTGTTTGGATACTTCCAGAAGTTGGTGCGACAGAATTGAGATGAACATCGAACTTGACGGACACGAGGTGTGTGGATGTCCAACAGACCCACCATGAGTCCTTCTGACTGCCACGCGGTCACTGGAAATTGCCCAAAGCTTGAGGTCTAGACATCATCCGTCGGGGCCTTCAGTCTGTCCATTGGTCCAAAGGTCTTTCATAAGTGCTGCCGAGGTTGCATCAGTGGCTGATTTGGGGTTCCTCGCCAGCCAAGCACATGTTCTCGACCTTTTGGGAGGCGCCCAGACATGACCTCAAATTGATTCGGTCATTGAGTGCCGATCACTTCCGAGAGTGCAAATAGAGCTGCGATGCATTGAATGGCTTCTGGTCATTGCACTAGAGAGAACGGAAACAAAGGGCAAAGCGGTAGAAAAGTCACTTCGGCCTCCCAGATCGGCGCCGTGAAATTTCCTTGGGTTGGTCTTGAGGTCCATGCCGGGCATTCAACAGCTTATTCCAAGATTTTTGACGTCTTTCATGGAAAGCGGTTGCGCAGCCTGAAATTTGTCTTACGCGCTTTCTTCGAGCATCACCTTGGAGACTTGAGTGAGACTTCATGATACTTCATGTTTCTTGGTGTTTGTGCAACATGCATCAAAAGGCCACTTTGCCACGAATTTTGCGATTAGACCCAATTCACAGAGCTGACATGATGATGCTCCTTTTGGCTAAGTCTAGCATTTTGGCGCTTCAATATCAGTGGCGGCGCCTTCAACGTAAGGACATCGACATTACGAACATTGATAGGCCTTCGCTACATTATAGAGAGAACGAAAATACAGGGCAAAGCGGTAGAAAAATCACTTCGGTACAAATTAAATAGATATTCTTTAAATTTTTGCATTTTTTATAGATTTAAAAAAACATATATATAATATTTCGTGCTCGATTTTTACGATTTATTTATTAAATCGTCGATAATTATGGGAATTTATTTATTGATTTTTTCTGAATTTACATATATGATTTATAGTATATTTTAGATTAATGTTATATTTTTATTACAATATGGAATAATTAAAATATATTTTATTTAATGGAATTATATATTAATATTAAAATTCTATATGGAATTTAATTCGGAAATTTATTGATTGAAATTTAATAATAATTACTATTTTATTATCGATTAATTTATTTTGTTTTATTTTTGGATTTAATAATTGGTAAATGCTTTTTTTTCGAATTTAGAAATAGATTAAGGTTTATCGACGAATTGTGAGCGAGTAAATTGATAATATAAAATTATTTAAAAAGATGTAGATATTAAGAATATTTTAAAATTATAGTATTGAATTTGGTCGGTTTTTTAATTTGAATCGATTATAATTATAGAAATAATATTTTCTTGGTTTAATTTAATTAATATATTTATTTTAATTTAATAATAACATTAAATTTTATTGATTCGGTTGAATTTAATTATTTTAAATGGATGCATTAATATAGTGGTTGATAATGATATAGACCGTTGATCGAAAATATATTCGAAATTAAATAGTAAGGGATTAATTAGGATTAATTAAATTATGAACGTTTTATGACAAAAAATAGTAAGTGATGTATGTTTGTTATGTTGGCACGTGATTCGAAATTTTATTATGGGAAGATTTGTTTGTCTTTTAGGGCGGTCTGGGAATATTTAGAATAAAATATATGAAATTAAAGAGGAATATAATTTCTTCGTATATTAAAAATATTGTAAATTTTTATAAAATTCTATTAGGGGGGCAAATTTAAGACATTGAAATAATAAGATCTTAATGTGCTTGCATTTCGAAAATATCTATTAGAATCGATATTAAATAGAATATATATAATAAAGAAAGATGCGAGTACACTTAGAGTAGGAGGGGCCGGGGGCAATCTATTGCAATTGAAATCTAATATTTGCGCACCAGAGTAAAACATATTATTAATAAAATCATATAGTGCGAGCGGCAACGATACATATGTTTTTTATCGTTACGGATGCAATATTAGGCTATTAAATCTTAAAACTAAATAAATTTGCTCGAAAACGGACTAAGGAATTACAAACTAATATATATAAAATATCAAGTGCTATACACATATAGCGTAAAAAGGCCTAAGAAACCTAAAACCCTATCAAATATTAAAGGGTCGAATTAATTAATTTATCATATAGGTAGAGGATTTATTTCGCAAAGCAATTTCAAAATAATCCTTATCAAATTATTTTTATAATATATAATAAGGTCCGAGAAGCATTCCAAATCAAAATAAAGAAAAATTCATCAAACAAAAAAAACGATTTCGATAATCAAAATATATATATTTTATATTAAATAATATCATAAATAAAATTACAATAAAATATTTTAATAAACATATATTTAATTTTTTAAATATAAAAATTAAATTCCATAAATCCTAAATCCACCAAAATCCAAAATATCATATTACTTCACGTCCACCAAAAGAAAAATATTATTATTTACCGTTCCTAATCTTTCCAAAAATCCAATATTCCAATAAAAAAGACATTAAATCCAAATATTAAAATATGCATATAAAAAATAACAAAACACACTAATATAATCGAAATAAATAATTGCCCATATAATATACGACCATCTAAATTAAAATATCGCTTAATTAATATATATTTTTTATTTTAATAATAATTAAATTATTATATATTAATATATAAATATAAATATATTAATCGAATAATGCATTTTAATTAATATATTCGATTAATATTTTAAAGAATTATAGTAAATTTAATTAATATGTATATTTCAATAATAGAAATTTAATATTCATTATTTATATATAGAATATTTATTATTCAACTTATTCTAAATATATTATGTTAGAACAAAAATGATTTTAATCCCTATGACGATTTATATATATTAATCAATTCCATATTATTTGAGAATTTGAGAGACAATTGAAGTTATAAATTTTCTATGCAATTAGACATCCTACATGGTGGCTGCTATTTTGAGCATGGTTTCATTGATCACATGTTGATTCAAACCTCCAGGTCCAGGCCTTAGCCAAAACTTGAGAGGAGGGAGACACAAAAGGTAGGACAGCGGGAAGAGAACAGAACGCGAGAAGCGCGAACAATACCCAATGTTTGACAGGGTGATGTATGAGAGCTCTGAGGACCGCTCTGAGCACCCCGGGGACTACCTTTCGTTATTAGAATTTCATTTGCACTCTAAAATGTTCAAAAATATTCTTAGGAAAACAAACTTGCCCCATTGCTCAGATCATCCGTGAGCGTTGAGTCGGAGCGTCATAGGGTTTGAACTATCCTGAAACCACGAGAGGCTCACGAAGACGTTCCCCAGGAGAGAATTGACGTGGTTCACA